AGTTCCTATTAGGGAATATTTCAGTGGTTACTGTGGGAGGAATTTTCTGTTGTATAAAGAGATGTACTATTAATGTAGAATTACCCACCAGACATTGACCATGTTGGAGGTCTATTATAGAGTATTATGTCCGCAATTAACCGACTTTGGTCTATGTTCGGAATAATGTATCGTAAAATAGCAGAGATTGGTCAGATATGACCTCTCCATTTAGCTATGGAATTAGGTGACATCCACAGGAACATACAGTTACGAGTACAATGTCCAATTGGTAGTAGAGCAAGCTTTATGTATAAGGTATTCAGGATTTTAATGCCCTACTATTTTATAGGTGCATGGTGGGAATAGGGCTGTTATCCCTGTCCATCCATCCAGTTCCTGTACAAAGCAATATGTTGAGAACATTACAACATGTTTTGTTTATATTTATTCCCACAGTATAATGACGTCAAGTTCTGTAAATACAACATCCAATGATACTTATACACATTCCTGTCTTACAGAATGTTTGTAGTGTTTAAGTAACATCTATGTCCTGTGTATCATTCAAAACACTTTCTCCTATGTCTTGGTTAAAAGGATTTCTGCTTTCATTCCCTTGTGTTGGGCACAAGACTTTGTTATATATGTCATTCAACAAGCTTTTTCCTACGTGTTGGACACAAAGCTTTGTCTTGTGTGTCATTTAAAAGACTTTGCCCCATGTGTCACAAGATTTTGTCCTATTTGTCATTCTAGAGACTTTGCCTGATATGTCTCAAGATTTTGTCCTATTTGTCATTCAAAAGACTATCTTATGTGTGGGCACAAGGCTTTGTCTTGTGTGGGGTCAAAAGGCTTTGTCTTATGTGTCATTCAAAAGACCTTTCCTGATGTGTCACAAGATTTTGTCCTATTTGTCTTTCAGAAGACTCCTATGTGTCAGAAGATTTTGTTTTGTGTGTCAATTGGAAGAATTTGTTACTATGTGTTGGATTCTGATATTGAATGTTTTTCTCATTATATGTGTGTGATGCTTGTCCTAATCACACAAATTTGTCATAAGGCCCTATGTGTGTCAAATACATAGCCCATGTTATTTGTGTCAAGATATTAAGTTCTTTGGTCACAAGACTCTTACATAAATATTGGTAAAGTCTATAACTACAGACATGTAATGCCATTTAAACTTGGTTCTATTATCGGGGATGATTGTATTTTTGTTATTGGGTCCAATGTTTTACATAATGACTTACATATCACTATTGTCTGGATTACAAGCTTCTGTCTAACAATGCTAGTTTGGATGTTCATTTGTTTAAGCTGTTGTCTGAGTATGCTTATCATGATATACAAGCTTTTTTCTGATCATGAAGATATACAAGTAGATGTCTGACCCTGCTGGCCTAACTGATCTGCTCCATCTCTTCCTGTCATCGCTGGCTAGCCTCATTAAATATTGATGGTCAAAACAGGCTCATGCAAATTCTCTATAAGCTGATAGACTCTGTTAAAGCTATGCAAAACACCAATCATTATACAATGTTGGCATTTTACATTTCATTTAGCTGATGAAAATATATCATGTTTCTGAATACGGTTTTATTGAATGGCTCATGGATTGTGTCAGGCTGTTTATATTGAGTTTCTCCGATAAGTTTGGTCTGTCATCCATCGTAGAGCTGTTTGTGATATAAAAGTCCCACATATAGGTTGAAATATCATAGCAGTAAGATTTAATATGTCTGTTTGTTTATAGGGAAATTTACACATGGCGTAACTTACTGATGGTTGTACTAACTGTGTGTTTACATCAGTATCTCAGCTGGTAGAGTGTTGGTTAGTGTTAACTTATGTGATGATCTCAGGTGTGTGGTTCAAAGGTCCCTACCCATTGTGATTTGTATTTTTCTGGAGGTTTAGAAATGGACTGATACCTACTGTTGTGTCAATTTACCCTAATTACTTTGCATGACATGCAATGGGTCTCCCATATGTTGTTCATTGAGAAGCCACTAGCTACTACAAGGACACTCCAACTTCAAAATGACCCTGGTTGTTCTCAGAGCAATAAACCTAAAAAACAAACAAAGATACGCATACTTAACAGGTATTTGTAGATAGAAACCATCACTGGAAATTTTAAACCTGCATAAATATCAACACTTGCATGTTTTAACTGTCATGTGTGTGATAATTCTTGAATACATATAGGTGAATGTGTTGACTAATTGAAAATCATTGGCTTTCCTTATGAAAGGATGCCAGTCTTTCATGTAATTTCTTCCTAGCATTTTGACTCATATTTTTGCATCTGGATAGACCTGCATAAAGAGAGCTTGATGTTCCAAAACCCTTGTAACTATAACCTCTTAACACCTGAGTTTGCAAAGTTGTACCCAGAAGAAATGGAAGACCAGTTTCCTTTGATAGACTTACAAGCCAATGCTTTTGTTTAATCAGGGGTATAAAGTCAATCTTCTCTCTACTTGGTCATTTTTGCTGCTCAAAGAAATATTGTGAGGATCTGATGATATTTTAATCATGGTTATAAGCCACTAATCAATATCATCTCTCCATACTAAATAGTCGTTAGACCCACGATAATTGGAAACATTTGTCATAAATATCGGTAATGTCTCCGTAAATCACGCCTTATTTTACAAGTTGACATCGCATTACCTTCTCACTTATATCTTTTTCACAAAAATGAAGATAAGATGTATTCCGAGTTTGAAAATAGAAACAACAGACAGAAATGGTTTGTGATAACTCTGAAGCTTAGCTAGATATTAATGCGTATATATAGAGGAGGAAGTATTAAACCATCACTGGATGCCTCGCAAGAAATTTGACATGTGATTTACAAAACTACTAAACTTCAGTCATATTTTACTCCACATCTGATGAAATCCTCTTGTTATTGTTTTCTGTATAAAAGTAGTTCCCTTTTTAATCACTTTTAATAGGTTTGTAATGATCAACAAGCATTGTCGTAGTTAATAAATGTTGGTTTCTCAAGCTCTAAACATAACACATTATCTTACACTTCATTATCCAAAACTCTACTGCAATAAAATAGCAAAATTTTTATCACTCAGTGTGTAGAATATCATATCATGTTTCTGTGTGTTCTAATGGAATTGAGCTAACTCAATTTGTCAAATACAATATCATTATTTAGTGCATGTAGTCGGAATTGAGCTAACTCAATTTGTCAAATACAATATCATTATTTAGTGCGTGTAGTCGGAATTTAGTTAACTCAATTTGTCAAATACAGTATCATTATTTAGTGTTTGTAGTTGGAATTGAGCTAACTCAATTTGTCATATACAATATCATTATCAATGTATGTAGATGGAATTGAGTTTACTCATTGTGTAGAATACAGTATCAATGTGTGTTGTCAGAATTGAGTTTACTCATTGTGTAGAATACAGTATCATTATCAATGTGTGTTGTCAGAATTGAGTTTACTCATTGTGTAGAATACAGTATCAATGTGTGTTGTCAGAATTGAGTTTACTCATTGTGTAGAATACAGTATCAATGTGTGTTGTCAGAATTGAGTTTACTCATTGTGTAGAATACAGTATCATTATCAATGTTTGTTGTCAGAATTGAGTTTACTCATTGTGTAGAATACAGTATCAATGTGTGTTATCACAATTGAGTTTACTCATTGTGTAGAATACTGTATCATTATCAATGTGTGTTGTCAGAATTGAGTTTACTCATTGTGTAGAATACAGTATCAATGTGTGTTGTCAGAATTGAGTTTACTCATTGTGTAGAATACAGTATCAATGTGTGTTGTCAGAATTGAGTTAACTCATTGTGTAGAATACAGTATCAATGTGTGTTGTCAGAATTGAGTTTACGCATTGTGTAGAATGCAGTATCAATGTGTGTTATCATAATTGAGTTTACTCATTGTGTAGAATACAGTATCATTATCAATGTGTGTTGTCAGAATTGAGTTTACTCATTGTGTAGAATACAGTATCAATGTGTGTTGTCAGAATTGAGTTTACTCATTGTGTAGAATACAGTATCAATGTGTGTTGTCAGAATTGAGTTTACTCATTGTGTAGAATACTGTATCATTATCAATGTTTGTTGTCAGAATTGAGTTTACTCATTGTGTAGAATACAGTATCAATGTGTGTTATCACAATTGAGTTTACTCATTGTGTAGAATACTGTATCATTATCAATGTGTGTTGTCAGAATTGAGTTTACTCATTGTGTAGAATACAGTATCAATGTGTGTTGTCAGAATTGAGTTTACTCATTGTGTAGAATACAGTATCAATGTGTGTTGTCAGAATTGAGTTGACATAAAGATACATTTAGATGACTCAGTGTGTGATGATGAATTGCACTCACTCTTTGAATGGAAATAGAATTAGTTTTCTTGATATGTGTAGAAGGATTCAGTTGATTGAATGCATGAATGTGAATTTAGTTGACTTGATGCTTTAAGTTGGATTTAGTTACCTCAATGTATTAGGTTAGTGACCATGAGGGAGTTTATAGAAATAGAAAGCGCTAGTATCACAATATATTAGACATCATGTGACCACCTAGGTTAGAGTTAACTGAACCAGACACTGGACTTTCATTAGAATACACAGTAGTATCTTTAATGAAGACATATTGTTTCTTCTTATAGATACTGAATAGCTCCAGTACATCACAACTATGATGACTGGACAGCTTTTGTGTGGAACATGTCATCTATTTTTAAAGCTGAAAGTGTGATCTGATCCCTGTCTGCTTCTGATGATAGAAGAGATATGTTCCACCTCTGGTGATGGATGTTCTGTCTTGCTCAATAAAACACATTTCCATTTCTTTTATCCTCAGGGTAGAAAAAACCTCATAATCATATTTGAATTTCTGTGTTTGTATACTAGTTGTTCACCTTCATGTTTTTCAAAATCATATTTTCAGGAGCTGGTCATCTGAATATTGTTTTTATGATTAACAACACCCTAATATTTTATACTTTGTAGGCAAGAAGTCCAACAGAACTCAGCTTCAGTTTGGATGGCAGCAAGGCCCAGAGGGAGCTCATCTCTCAACTTGAGGCCAAAAACAGGTAGGGCTTGGATGAATATTGCTGGAAAGGAGGGGCAGAAATGAAAGTGTCAAGTGGATGAGAGGGAGAGAGGTATGATCAAACATTTAAATCAGTGACAGTATGGGCAGTGGATGTGATGGGAGAGGTAGTGATAAAGAAAAGGGGCTGTACATGAAAATGGACAGAACAGCAGGATAAGGACAGAATACCTACTTCAGGAGCAAAGCCGAAACACAATGTTCAGAGAAGATAAACTTTAGAGGTTGTTTACAGGCAATATTTGAAGGAGGTTAAAATAGCTTAAAGGAAAGAGGTCGTGAAATAGAAGTAGGGTAGAGGGGAAGAAGGCATTTAGGATCAGTAGAGAAAAACACTGGTCAAACACAGGTCAGGAGGCAGTTAATTAGGATCTGTAGGGAAAACACTGGTCAAACACAAGACAGGAGGCAGATAATTAGGATCTGTAGGGAAAACACTGGTCAAACACAAGACAGGAGGCAGATAATTAGGATCTGTAGGGAAAACACTGGTCAAACACAGGCCAGGGGACAGATAATTAGGATCTGTAGACAAAACACTGGTCAAACACAGGTCAGGAGGCAGATAATTAGGATCTGTAGGGAAAACACTGGTCAAACACAAGACAGGAGGCAGATAATTAGGATCTGTAGGGAAAACACTGGTCAAACACAGGTCAGGAGGCAGTTAATTAGGATCTGTAGGGAAAACACTGGTCAAACACAAGACAGGAGGCAGATAATTAGGATCTGTAGAGAAAACACTGGTCAAACACAAGACAGGAGGCAGATAATTAGGATCTGTAGGGAAAACACTGGTCAAACACAAGACAGGAGGCAGATAATTAGGATCTGTAGGGAAAACACTGGTCAAACACAAGACAGGAGGCAGATAATTAGGATCTGTAGAGAAAACACTGGTCAAACACAAGACAGGAGGCAGTTAATTAGGATCTGTAGGGAAAACACTGGTCAAACACAAGACAGGAGGCAGATAATTAGGATCTGTAGAGAAAACACTGGTCAAACACAAGACAGGAGGCAGATAATTAGGATCTGTAGGGAAAACACTGGTCAAACACAAGACAGGAGGCAGATAATTAGGATCTGTAGAGAAAACACTGGTCAAACACAAGACAGGAGGCAGTTAATTAGGATCTGTAGGGAAAACACTGGTCAAACACAAGACAGGAGGCAGATAATTAGGATCTGTAGAGAAAACACTGGTCAAACACAAGACAGGAGGCAGTTAATTAGGATCTGTAGGGAAAACACTGGTCAAACACAAGACAGGAGGCAGATAATTAGGATCTGTAGGGAAAACACTGGTCAAACACATGACTGGAGGCAGATAATTAGGATCTGTAGAGAAAACACTGGTCAAACACATGACTGGAGGCAGATAATTAGGATCTGTAGGGAAAACACTGGTCAAACACATGACTGGAGGCAGATAATTAGGATCTGTAGGGAAAACACTGGTCAAACACATGACTGGAGGCAGATAATTAGGATCTGTATGGAAAACACTGGTCAAACACAGGTCAGGAGGCAGATAATTAGGATCTGTAGACAAAACACTGGTCAAACACATGACTGGAGGCAGATAATTAGAATCTGTATGGAAAACACTGGTCAAACACAGGTCAGGAGGCAGATAATTAGGATCTGTAGGGAAAACACTGGTCAAACACAAAACAGGAGGCAGATAATTAGGATCTGTAGGGAAAACACTGGTCAAACACAAGACAGGAGGCAGATAATTAGGATCTGTAGGGAAAACACTGGTCAAACACAAGACAGGAGGCAGATAATTAGGATCTGTAGAGAAAACACTGGTCAAACACAAAACAGGAGGCAGATAATTAGGATCTGTAGACAAAACACTGGTCAAACACAAGACAGGAGGCAGATAGTTAGGATCTGTAGGGAAAACACTGGTCAAACACAAGACAGGAGGCAGATAATTAGGATCAATTGGGAAAAGAGGGTTAAATCAGACGAGAAGTATAATTACAAAGACAGGATTACTCTGGTAGTCTTAATTTACATAATGATGAGTATCATCTCTTATAATCTGAAGATTTTGGTCAGGAAAGACAAAAACAAAACCCTTATCCTAAAATTTAACATTGTTCATGTTTGTTACCTGTCTTCAGTAATACTCATCTTCAGCAGTTACGGAATCTTTATCAGTACACCCATTAAGGTGATTTATTTTCTTAATCTTGGTTAATGTTCTCTGCGACTTCATGTGTCCTAAAAATTCCTTCAGAAAATAAGAAGAAAATGGTAATGACACAGTAATTACTCAGTTTACTCAGTTTCTCATTGAACTTTAACCTTCTATTTTATTCTGGCCAATTATTTACAGTATTGATCTTTCTTGGACTTAAACAAGGCTTGTAATACTCAGGTTGTAAACAACTGTGGTGTTTTCAATCAGAGGCAGAAGAACAAGAACATTTGTGTTGTCAACCTGGAGACAAGGGAGTCACTTTCATCACAGGTGAACTTTAGATTACAAACTGGGGAGGTCACTTTGGTGTGTAGGATATATACTAATTTAGAGGAAGTCACTTTGGTTTACAGGATAGCTGCTGGTTTAGAGGATGCCACTTTAATGTACAGGTTAGATATTGGTTAAGAGGAGGTCACTTTGGTTTACAGGTTAACTACTGGTTTAGAGGACCCCACTTTAATGTACAGGTTAATTACTGGTTTAGAGGAGGTCACTTTGGTTTACAGGTTAACTACTAGTTTAGAGGAGGTCACTTTGGTTTACAGATTAACAACTGGTTTAGAGGAGGTCACTTTGGTTTACAGGTTAACTACTGATTTAGAGAAGGTCACTTTGGTTTACAGGTTAACAACTGCTTTTAGAGGAGGTCACTTTGGATTACAGGTTAACTACTAGTTTAGAGGAGGTCACTTTGGTTTACAGGTTAACAACTGGTTTAGAGGAGGTCACTTTGGATTACAGGTTAACGACTAGGTTAGAGGAGGTCATTTTGGTTTACAGGTTAACAACTGGTTTAGAGGAGGTCACTTTGGATTACAGGTTAACTACTGGTTTAGAGGAGGACACTTTGGTTTACAGGTTAACAACTGGTTTAGAGGAGGTCACTTTGGATTACAGGTTAACTACCAGGTTAGAGGAGGTCACTTTGGTTTACAGGTTAACAACTGGTTTAGAGGAGGTCACTTTGGTTTACAGGTTAACAACTGATTTAGAGGAGGTCACTTTGGTTTACAGATTAACAACTGGTTTAGAGGAGGTCACTTTGGTTTACAGGTTAACTACTGATTTAGAGAAGGTCACTTTGGTTTACAGGTTAACAACTGCTTTTAGAGGAGGTCACTTTGGATTACAGGTTAACTACTGGGTTAGAGGAGGTCACTTTGGATTACAGGTTAACTACTAGTTTAGAGGAGGTCACTTTGGTTTACAGGTTAACTACTAGTTTAGAGGAGGTCACTTTGGTTTACAGGTTAACAACTGGTTTAGAGGAGGTCACTTTGGATTACAGGTTAACGACTAGGTTAGAGGAGGTCATTTTGGTTTACAGGTTAACAACTGGTTTAGAGGAGGTCACTTTGGATTACAGGTTAACTACTGGGTTAGAGGAGGTCACTTTGGATTACAGGTTAACGACTAGGTTAGAGGAGGTCACTTCGGTTTACAGGTTAACAACTGGTTTAGAGGAGGTCACTTTGGATTACAGGTTAACTACTGGGTTAGAGGAGGTCACTTCGGTTTACAGGTTAACAACTGGTTTAGAGGAGGTCACTTTGGATTACAGGTTAACTACCAGGTTAGAGGAGGTCACTTTGGTTTACAGGTTAACAACTGGTTTAGAGGAGGTCACTTTGGTTTACAGGTTAACAACTGATTTAGAGGAGGTCACATTGGTTTACAGGTTAACAACTGGTTGACTATTGGTAACTTTGGTTTACAGGTTAACAACTGGTTGACTACTGGTAACTTTGGTATATACTGTTAAGAACTGGTGAACAAGCATATATCTCTGATTATCGGATGGCAGATATTGTCTCTCAGTGCTGACTGGTGAAATGATATAATTCCTTGTAGGACAATCTGGTGAAATGAGTCGTGTTACGTTATGTGTTTTCTTTACCTGCTTCAGGGAAATTATGCGAGAAATCCAGAGACTGAGACTAGAACAAGAAGCCCATGCCAAAAGTACCGCTGATGCTCAATATAATCCTACCCTACTGGCTGAGCTTCGTTTACTACGCCAACGCAAAGATGAACTAGAAAATCGCATGCAGGCCCTCCAGGAAAGTCGAAAGGAGCTGATGCTTCAACTAGAAGGTCTCATGAAGTTACTCAAGGTAGGTACAACTGTACATGTCATATGAAGGAATATATTTATCATGTACTTTATGTACAGAAAGAATTCTAAAATTATTTAAAAATAGAAATTACAACTAAGAAAAAGTTATTAAGCACAAAACATTTATTACAATACAATGGCAAAAAACAGATGAACTGAAACACATGATATTTCATTCAAGCTAAATACAATTATCATTGGCTTTTGTTTTAGAACCACCCTACCTCACCCAGATCCACACCCAATGAGAGCCCTCGATCACAGACAGGCAGTCTCCCACCTGCCTCCTACTCCGGTCGGGTGAGTGCCCCCACCACCCCTGCCATGGAGTCGTCCATGCTGTCTGGGGTAGGTGGGGATGTAAGGCAGGCCTTCAGTCAGCCCACAACTGTCACAAGTGTACGACATCTCAGGAATGACCTTCTTGTAGCTGCAGACTCCGTCACTAGCGCCATGTCCTCCCTCGTCAAGGAGCTCAACTCAGGTAGGTCACCTTAATAATCAAATAAGTTCATGTTATGACTGTAGGACATCTTTTTGCTGTATTTTAGATCTTTGGTTTAGAGGTTAAATATCTAGTTTAAAAACAACAAATTAAATTTGAGGTTACATGTTTCGGTAAACATGAAAAGTGTAAGAAGACTTGATGGAACCTATTTACTCCTGCATGAATCTTAGTGTCCAAAGAAGGATGGTATAGGATTGGACTATAAAACATCTCATTTATAGTTATAGATAATGAAGGAGGAAGAGGATTGACAGAGATTTGTAGTTAGCAGAATTTAGGAAGCCTCCACCTATCCTTATCAGAATTGACTTAAATTTCCTGTATGGATATGTGAATTGACTTAAATTTCCTGTATGTGTGAATTGACTTAAATTTCCTAAATAGATATGTGAATTGACTTCAATTTCCTGTATAGATATGTGAATTGACTTAAATTTCCTGTATGGATATGTGAATTGACTTAAATTTCTTGTATGAATATGTGAACTGACTTAAAATTTCCTGTATGGATATGTGAATTGACTTAAATTTCCTGTGTGTGTGAACTGACTTAAATTTCCTGTATAGATATGTGAACTGACTTAAATTTCCTGTATAGATATGTGAATTGACTTAAATTTCCTGTATAGATATGTGAACTGACTTAAATTTCCTGTATAGATATGTGAATTGACCCACATTTCCTGTATAGATATGGATATGTGAATTGACTTAAATTTCCTGTATAGATATGTGAATTGACTTAAATTTCCTGTATAGATATGTGAACTGACTTAAATTTCCTGTATAGATATGTAAATGGACTTAAATTTCCTGTGTGTGTGAACTGACTTAAATTTCCTGTATGGGTATGTGAATTGACTTAAATTTCCTGTATGGATATGTGAATTGACTTAAATTTCCTGTATAGATATGTGAATGGACTCAAATTTACTGTATAGATATGTGAATTGACTCAAATTTCCTGTATAGATATGTGAATTGACTTAAATTTCCTGTATGGATATGTGAACTGACTCAAATTTCCTGTATAGATATGTGAATTGACTTAAATTTCCTGTATGGATATGTGAATTGACTTAAGTTTCCTGTATGGATATGTGAATTGACTTAAATTTCCTGTATGGATATGTGAATTGACTCAAATTTCCTGTATAGATATGTGAATTGACTCAAATTTTCTGTATAGATATGTGAATTGACTTAAATTTCCTGTATGGATATGTGAATTGACTTAAGTTTCCTGTATGGATATGTGAATTGACTTAAATTTCCTGTATGGATATGTGAAATGACTTAAATTTCCTGTATGGATATGTGAATTGACTTAAATTTCCTGTATGGATATGTGAACTTAAATTTCTTGTATGGATATGTGAATTGACTTAAATTTCCTGTATGGATATGTGAATTGACTTAAGTTTCCTGTATGGATATGTGAACTGACTTAAATTTCTTGTATGGATATGTGAATTGACTTAAATTTCCTGTATGGATATGTGAATTGACTTAAGTTTCCTGTATGGATATGTGAATTGATTTAAATTTCCTGTATGGATATGTGAAATGACTTAAATTTCCTGTATGGATATGTGAATTGACTTAAATTTCCTGTATGGATATGTGAACTGACTTAAATTTCTTGTATGGATATGTGAACTGACTTAAATTTCCTGTATAGATATGTGAACTGACTCAAATTCCTGTAAAGTAATGGATTAAATTTCCTGCAATGTTATGATATTGACTCAAATATCTTGTGTAGTCTGAAGCATTGACTCAAACTCCCTGTCCAGAGATGAGAAACGACTCATACTGAATTCACTCTAACATTCTGTGTTTGTTTTGGTCTTGGAATTAAAAAATTATTATATAGAACTCCATGTATTTTAATGAAAATTGGTTCAAAATTCCTCATGCAGTCATAAAAGTCCACTCATTGAATGGTAGTAAAAGTTGTCAAACACTTCCTGGAAAACTGTGTGAAAAAAAAAAAACTCTTTTCATGATGAAAATGGACACCAACTTCCTGTTTGGTGATGAAAGTTGACACAGACGTCCTGTATGATGAGAAAGTTTGCCAGTCAACCTCCGGTATGATGATGAAAATTTGCACAGAATTTCTGTACGTTGATGGAATTTTGATCATATGATCATGGAAATGTATCAGTTTGTATGGATAAGATATGTTTGTTACAATATTTTCTCCTGATTTACACAAAAGGTTTACCATCCATGTCTGTCTAGGGCAAATAAAATCTGATCAGACAGATAATGTAAAAAGTTGCCATTAATTTCAGAGTCAGCTAACACTTCCCTGGAGGAGAATTGGTCGTCAGGTAACATAAACAAGAGAATCGTTTGTTCCTCCAACGCATGGTGTGATTGGCAAAGTTTACGACTTGTCAGCAATAAAACAAAGCAATCAGTGGTGTCTATTGAGTCAACTCGTACATGTTGGGCATAGAGGTAGACACAATTGTTATAAGCCTATACCGTTAATCATGGGTCTGTCTGGGCAGTCACTCGGAATAGAAACAGATAATTGGGGGAATGTATAGTGTGATTTTATACTGGAGATTCACAGACAAGATGAGAGGATGGGTTCACATTAAAATTACAATTGCATGAAGAAAATAGAGCTTCCCAATTGGTAGTCTAGGTGCATAGAAAGGTTTGCTGTGTACATGTTCGGTATTACCTGTTTGTTGATGAATACCCTGCATATCAGCCGAGTATTGATGATAAAGGTTGAAAATATTAGAGCTCAAAATCAAATCACACTTACTTAACACCAAATGATTAGACACTAAATTAGGAAATAAATAGCGAAGTTTTCTTGCTGATCCATGTACTATGATAAAAGTTATTCTAATTATAAAATTTGCCTGTTTCATGAAATGTTTAGTGCAAATGTATTTGGTAACAAGTTATACCACTGTAGTGTGAAAGTCAACATAAGAATTTTCTACTGCTGCAAGCAAAGACAGCTGACTATTGTCCTGCATTTTTCATCCTGAAGTAGATGGAATTACTAATGTTGTTGACAGATGTCTGTCTGAGCTTTGGTTAGTTGTCATAATACATGTTGTATTCCTTCCCTATCTTTGATACAAACTGCTTGTAAGGCTGCAACTCCAAGAAAATTACCAACCTCTTACTCTTGAGAGCTGTGTATTATACCTCTAAAGGGAAAGTAAAACTGTGGGCTGTGTATTATACCTCTAAAGAGAAAGTTATACTGATGACTGTTTATCATATTCCTGATAAGAAAGTAATATTTATCGGTATCTTTTTACCTTTATAGAGGAAGTGATAATTAACTTTTGTGTATCTAAAGGGAAAGTAAAACTGTGGGCTGTGTATTATACCTCTAAAGGGAAAGTAAAACTGTGGACTGTGTATTATATCTCTAAAGGGAAAGTAAAACTGTGGGCTGTGTATTATACATTTTTATCTCCAAAGGGAAACTAATACTTGATGTTGATATACCGTAGAAAGGAAGATCAGTATATGTGCTTTAGATGTAAACAGAAGGGGATTTCTTTATAATGTACAATAAAACCTTTTCTATACAGTTTTCAATCTGTGACCAGCATATTGACAGTTTGTTAGTGAAATAGGAATTGATCACTTTGATAAAAACTGATATCATGTAATGATATAAAAGTCTTATAACATGTAAAGTGATAATACAACTTTTCCAGTGATACAACTTTCATAGTTTTAAGCAATCAGAAGAGTGCTTTTTAGTCAATGCATTGAAATTCAACAGTTTTCTTGTTCAAATGCAAATGAAGTGAAGGTTGAATATATTTGTTTCCCTTCAAAGCTTTTCTGTGTACATTTCAGACTTCCACTTTGATACATTGTATTCAAAACTGTTTTGAAAGCGATTCATAGCAGATAATAGCAGAAAATGGTAGAATATCATGCCAAACCCTTTTAGCAGCCAGTTCAAAATAGCATTGTTTTGTCAAGCATAACATCAAACTATCCAACATCAAAGAGCATAATGATATTTCTTTTAACTTCATCCAATACCAGTTTATTTTACATTTCAATAGGTTCCTTCTATGTTGTTTCCTTTAAAAATGTTGTGAAAAGAAAAGATAACAGTTTCCAATTAAATATCATAAACATATATAAATAAATATATTTTATGACAGCTATATTTGTCATTTGTGTAAAGCAGGAGTGCATTCAAGAAAAATGCACAAGTGAAAAATCGAGATGTTCTGTCATACTTTGCAGTATATATATGATATCAAAAATGAGAAACCATTAAATATATCCTTCGTATGTCAGTATCTTCTTAACCGTTAACTACTTAGACCTATAGTTATAAAGTGATGATATATAGTATGAAATTAATATAGGTCTCCTGTACCTAGAAAACATCACAAAGTTGAAGTTGAGAGTGTTTAGGGTGCTTTGCCCAGCAGAATTAGAATTGTGTTGTGTGTGGTTTAGCTGTTGATGCACTCAGCCTTAGAATGATTGATGATCTCATCTAATGATGGCCATCGTTATATTGATGGTAAAGTAGAGAGAGTGATCTCAATGTCCCAAGAAGAGCTGGGGAAATTACCATATCACTGTCCCATATACTTGTCGCCCAAGTAAAATCATGGTCTCAAACATTATTATCACAGGAGAATCAATTTTTGTTATATACTTTTGCTTGCAGAGGAAAAATCTTCATATCTAATTGTTGTCACAGGAGAATCAAATTTTTTGTCTATATGCTTTTGTCTCAAGAGGAAAAATCATGGTCCTCAGAGCGCTTGTTATGGATGAACAGATCTTAGTTCTGTATGTCAAGTAATTGGGGAACCTATGTGTTCATGTTACTGATAAACTATCTAATTTTCATGTTTATACTAACACAAAATGTCTTGGATTCTGCAAGGTTGTCTCCCTGTCTTCTATGGAATTGTCTCCCTTTATGTTGTTGTTCCAAACTGTTTCCATGGCAATTTATATATTATTATTTAATCAGTTTACTGGATGGTTGTGGAAAAAATTAATTTAATTTTGAGCAAATTTCAAGTTTCAAATTGTTTAGGTAGATTAATTGAGAAGTTATTAATTTACTATTAAGATAAATAAACTGCTAATTCAAATTAAAACTTAAATTGTTTTCTTTTTGTAAGTTATGCTTATATCAGGAGTGTTCAGTACGGATTGTGATTTTACTTTGTTTAAAGTAAATTACTGTATATTTGTCAAACATACCATAGAAAGATGACATGACAGGTGAGGATTGTACTGATCATGTTTACAATAGATGGGATATCATTCATATATGTTTTACACATTCTAATCTATTACAGATACAAGTATAAGTGATGATGAAGACGATGGACAGATCAGTGAAGCAGAAGGTGAGATGAAGATGAGATGGCACAGAGTCTAATGATGTACCAAATGACCTAGCTTATATTTTGTCCACAGTAACTTCATTTATACTTGATAGGTTAATACCAGACATTTTAAAGATCTGAATATTTTCAGATAATGGAAAGTGTTTCACAGTTATTCAAGAAACGTAGAAAACGCCTCTTGATCATTGACATATCGACATACAGTTAATGTACCATGTGTACAGCCTATATCACAACCCCTGAATTTGATTGGAAGGCATATTAATGTCAATACAATGCATATTCATTACATCTCATCGAGAATCAATGTTAGCAAATTATCTATTTCATTTTGGAAAAGAATTTGCAAAGGTCACTTATAAGATTACCTCATTTGAATTTGTGTCTAACGGCTCCAAGTTCGAGATCTCCATTATTATTTATAGACAAATACTGAACATTGAATCCTATATGCATTAGAATGGAAATATTGATATCTTACAGTCATTTTCTTGTCTATGAAGAAGTGTATAGCATTGAAGGTTTACAGTACATTATTTGAGACAGAGTTGTCTTTCATTGTTGACAGCCAACTTGGTGGTGGCTGATAGCTATGTGATGCGAACCCAAGAGGAGCTTGATAACTGGCAACAAGAAGTGCTGCGAAGGCTGGACCAGGAGCAGGACTTCATTTCACAGCTTCGCGCTCGCAGGGCCAAGAGTGCCAACAGCAGTCGCAACCAAAGTGACACAGAAAATGACAAGTAAGTTTAAATCATTGCCCATCAAATGATGCGAAAGCCTGTTAACACAGAAAATGGCAGACAATTTACTATGAAATACACAATGAAAGTGTCTTTACAGAGAACACAACCTGATATATATATCTGAAGTCTTTCAACAATAATATATGACTAGTCTTTCCTGACATGATACCCCTATGTCATATATATCATACAAAACCTGATTGTCAGTGTGACATCACAGATAAAAGATGTCACCCTATTGTTTTTGTAGTGGATAAAAAACCATTGCATTCAGCTTTATTTTCCTTATGGTGTAGATGTCATCTCTTCAGATGTAACATACACAAACCCTGCTTAATCACTTGCTATGGATCTTTCAATGTAACTCTAGCTCACGTTTGTTTAATTCTGACTTGAATTTTATTTAGAAAATTGTAGAAAGAATGGTTTTACCAGGAATGTGTATACCCACACTAAGTGTTTATGTTTGTACAGTTACATTCCAGAGAATTCGTTCCTAAACAGGACAGATGATGGAAGTGCCTTAGGTACTGATGACGCAGAGTCATACATCCGCACTGACGATGAAAGTTGCATCCGAACAGATGACGAGGATGCTGAGCTCTATGACAACCATCCAAAGGTACAAACTAAAAGCTGATATCAGTAGCAGGAATTTTACATTAGTATAAATAACTACACATATCCCCTTATAATTTTCTCATTGAGCTTGATGAGTGCAACAAAAAATTTGATGAGTACCAAGCTTTCAAATAGTAATCATTTTATAAATGATTTGAGAACTAAAAATATTTTTACTTTTGTTATAGGAGTTACCTGGTCGAATGACTTCTAGTACTTACACAACAGATGAGGAGAGTTATCTCCAGTCTGATGCAGATTCTTACATCCGCACTGATGATGAGGATGGAGGCAACACTGACTGGGAAGAGTCTATGAAACGCTGGGTCAATCGCTGAAGTCATCCAAGTGACCAAGCACAGGGAATGGAGCAATATAAACAGAACAGCTTACACTGTATCATAGGGAGTGAAGCAACTACATAGAAAAGCTTACTCTAAATTACAGGAAGTGAAGCCACCAAACAGAAATTATTTCTTCTTGTGATGGAGGAACAGGGCTGAATCTCATGCAGGATTTTTCATTGTTGCTGGTTAACATTGGTAGAACAGTATATCTGTAGAATTGAACAGACTGACCCAAGCAATATCAACAAATTGTCCTAACCTTGTTACCAGGAATAGTTTCAATCAGCAAAAAAAAATACTAAAACAACCAGAAGGAGATGTGACAGATGCAGGTTATCTCCCTTGTCAACATATGTGTAATTGATACAGGCTATCTTCTAAGTGAAGAAATGTTACAGATCCAGGTCATGTCCTTTGTCAACATATTTGTCACAGATACAAGTTATCTCCCATGTTGACAAATGTGTGTCTAATGCAGGTTATCTGACTTATCAACAAAAGTGTTACAGAAGTAGGTCATCTCCCTTGTCAACTGATAGATGCCGGCTCTTCCTTCCTTTGTGTTGAGCCAAGTTATGAATCATTGTCAGATAATATTTGTGTTAAAAGCCTGTCTCAATTTGTAGCAAAGTTATCTCCCTTTTGTAAACCTGTACTATGAGCTAGAGATATCCAAGAGATCTACCACTGAACTACATAGTATTGATATTGCTGTAAGCAAGATGTAAGGGAGATAACTATTTGCTCCTAGTTGGCAGAGTAGTTTGTTACTGAGTGAACTTTGCAGTTGTTACTGGTTGTTACACAGTTACCTCCCCTGTTTTGTGTAGTTGATGTGTTTGAAGGTCCTGTGAGAGACATCATGGCAGTACCTGTCTTAAGACACAAAAGCTATCCAAATATCTCACAGATATTTTACCTACACCTTTAACATTGTGATATTGTTCATATAAAATCACATCATATGCGACCAAATATTTCATCATATTTCTTTTATTAGTTAAAATGATATCCATTTCTGTAGCCTCCCTTCTCAATGGGTAGATGTTTGTAATTCATCATCATCTGTTACACTGATTGTTCATGTTATCACCAGAGGAGAGAAGTATTGTCAGAGAAATCAGTCAAATTTCTGATATGAGTACTGAGGTAATATGATATCTCAGATAGGTACGGAGTTGTTATAACAAGCAAGTACTGATTCCAACTGTTATCACAAATGAGTATTGAGGTAACATGTTATCTTAAATGAGTAATGAGTCCATTTGTTATCATAAACAAATACTGAATTTGTCTGTAATCACAAATGAGTTCTGAGTTAACATGTTATCACAAATGAGTTCTGAGTTAACATGTTATCACAAATGAGTTCTGAGTTAACATGTTATCTTAAAGTAATGAATCGGTCTGTTCACAAATGAATACCAAGTCCTTCTTTTGTTATAATCAAGTACTGAGGCAACAACATATTTTAAATATATTTAGGTATATATCTAAGTATTTAGGCTTCCTTTTGCTCTTTTGAGTGCAGAGTCAATCTGCCATCTAATTTCAAGAATTGAGACAATTTGCTTTCTGAAAGTATTGAGACAGTTACTGGTATTTAGAACTTTGTTTTAATCCATTAAAAAGTATTAGATGTCCTGTATTGCTCCCACTTTACTCTGGTGTTAGACTGAATGTCACTGCTCAATTACAGAAATATAGTGATATTGTGTGTATATGGTATGATACAAGTGTCCTCATCCCCAACCCCTCTCTCACCCTAAGAAATAAACATTAACAATAAGGGATGTTTCTTTGTAGTAGCCTATCTTGCCAAGAGTCTACAGTACTTACATGTTTGTAAATGACATTTAAATTGTATAGTCAGATAATTTAGTTTAGATATTTGTCACGAGAAACACTTTGAATATTTTAATTTTCTAAACTGGCTGACTTCAGATGGGTACTAATTACCAATATCAGTTTATAATCAAATGTTTCATGTTTTATTTGTTGTTTTTTTTTTAAATGCTCCTAAAACTGATTTGATTGTAATGAGAGTTAGAAGTAAGAATGACTGGACATTGTAATCTACAAGAGTTACTTCCCTTTTTTCACTCTGTCATTGCATTGATAGTGATAGGGGAGGGGGCCCAGGATGATGGCAGGACAACACTCGACACCCTCTTGGCCTGTTGTTGATATGTTAGTCATATAGATACACTTATGTGTACCTGGTATTTGTGTACAGGTGTTCATGTATGTGAGAGACAGATTCAGGTGTGAGCTGATATCAGTATCTGTGACCAGTTCCCCGTTTCTTTTCTATTTGGTTACAGATTCTTGTCACAACTTCTTTTTTTTTTTTCAAATTAGTTGTACATGATCAGAAATACTTTGATTTCCTGCAGTCTTTGATTTTATCTTTTGTTGGGGAGGGGACAGGTTAATGCTGGACACTTCCTGCAGTCTTTTATCTTTTGTTGGGGAGGGGACAGGTTAATGCTGGACACTTCCTGCAGTCTTTTATCTTTTGTTGGGGAGGGGACAGGTTAATGCTGGACACTTCCTGCAGTCTTTTATCTTTTGTTGGGGAGGGAACAGGTTAATGCTGGACACTGCATCTCAGAAAACAAAGGCTTAACTTTCTGATGGAAGAGAAAATGTTGAAAGGTAATATCTGGTAAAACAAAGATTAAAGAAAAAATGGTAGATTTTTCTCAGAGAGGATGATTGGGGAACTAGATTGAAATTTATTCTGCTTGTTATACACATTTTTGCAATTAGCTTTGCTGCATTTGCTAAATTCTAGCTTGTTGCTTTTATTAGACCATGACTTATGTCCGAGATAAGTCAGGTGTGTCCTTTTAGTGTTTATAGGTTTGTGTTTGATCTGAAGTCTTTCAGAATTATCAAAGTTTTTAAACTGGCCTTATTTTTAACACATTTTAGCACCACTAATAACCGGGTATTAAATTTAAGTGTCTAATATTCTTTGGTTTCACATTTTTTTTCTCAAGAACAGTTTAGAAAGATAGACTATCTGTATAAAATCTTATTTCAATTTGAACTCTTACAAATACTCAAAGTTTATCTTTTATTGATTATGAATAGATATTTGTACATCTGATAACTCCACTGTGTTATTAGATGGGCTAAATGATACTACAGCTTGGACGTGTTGGTAGTGGTACTTCAGCATTGGGATGTTGGTAGTGATACTTCGACATGGAGATGTTGGTAGTGATACTTCGACATGGAGATGTTGGTAGTGGTACTTAAGTATTGGGATGTTGGTAGTGATACTTCGACATGGAGATGTTGGTAGTGGTACTTAAGTATTGGGATGTTGGAAGTGGTACTTCAGCATTGGAATGGATGTTGGTAGTGGTACTTCGACATGGAGATGTTAGTAGTGATACTTCGACATGGAGATGTTGGTAGTGGTACTTCGACATGGAGATGTTAGTAGTGATACTTCGACATGGAGATGTTGGTAGTGGTACTTCAGCATTGGGATGTTGGTAGTGGTACTTTGACATAGAGATGTTGGTAGTGGTACTTCGACCTGGAGGTGTTGGTAGTGGTACTTAAGTATTGGGATGTTGGTAGTGGTACTTCAGCATTTGGATGTTGGTAGTGGTACTTCAATATGTAGTTGTTTGAAATGAGTAAATGATACTGTGGTGTACAGAATTATGTGTTAATGCTGTGTGAAATGCCTACAAAATAATTGTTGCCGAAAGATGGATCTGTCACTAAAGAAAGATAGGGGAAAAAAATTTACTTCAAAGTTATTGAAGTTAAGCAGGTTGGTGGCTATGTATGTTACTCTGATACTTTAATAGGATTGAAGTGCATATCTAGAACATGAAAAAGTGATTTAAAAAGAAAAAACAGAGGAAAATATCTGAGTGTGATTTAAAGAATAAGTGGCAAAGGACAATTCATCAAAACAAAACCTACATCTTATTGTGTATCTTTGTTCTAGTCATTACGGTCAACAGACACTTTGTATGTATCAGTTTGCATGACAATGTGGTTTGTCAAATAAGAGAGTCTTTATGACGGCTAAAATGGTTTGACAACTAAGTTTGTATGACAGTGAAAATGGTGTGACAACTGAGAGAGTTTGAATAACTTAAAATAGTGTGAAAACTAAGGGAGTTTATATGACTGTAAAAATATTGTGACAATAAAGAGAGTTTGTTTGACTGTAAAAAAAAATGTGACAACTAAGAGAATTGTTTGACTGTAAAAATAGAGTGACAGCTAAGAGAATTTGTAGGACTGTTAAAATAGAGTGACAGCTAAGAGAATTTGTTGGACTGTAAAAACAGTGTGACAACTAAGAGAATTTGTAGGACTGTAAAAATAGAGTGACAGCTAGGAGAATTTGTTGGACTGTAAAAATAGTGTGACAACTAAGAGAATTTGTTGGACTGTAAAAATAGAGTGACAGCTAAGAGAATTTGTTGGACTGTAAAAATAGAGTGACAGCTAAGAGAATTTGTTGGACTGTAAAAACAGTGTGACAACTAAGAGAATTTGTAGGACTGTAAAAATAGAGTGACAGCTAGGAGAATTTGTTGGACTGTAAAAATAGTGTGACAACTAAGAGAATTTGTTGGACTGTAAAAATAGTGTGACAACTAAGAGAATTGTTTGACTGTAAAAATAGAGTGACAGCTAAGAGAATTTGTTGGACTGTAAAAATAGAGTGACAGCTAAGAGAATTTGTTAGACTGTAAAAATAGAGTGACAGCTAAGAGAATTTGTTAGACTGTAAAAATAGAGTGACAGCTAAGAGAATTTGTTGGACTGTAAAAATAGTGTGACAACTAAGAGAATTTGTTGGACTGTAAAAATAGGATGACAGCTAAGAGAATTTGTTGGACTGTAAAAATAGAGTGACAGCTAGGAGAATTTGTTGGACTGTAAAAATAGTGTGACAACTAAGAGAATTTGTTGGACTGTAAAAATAGAGTGACAGCTAAGAGAATTTG